AGCCGGAAGTGGCGCTGTGGCTCAAGTGGTAGAGCGCTAGCCTTGAGCTGAAGAGCTGAGGGACAGCGCCCAGACCCAGAGTTCAGGCCCCATAATCGGACCCAAAAATAAATAAATAAATAAATATTTTATCTATCCAGGATGTCTACTGTAATAAAAGAAACAGGCAAAGCAGCTCAAAGAGATACAAAATCTAAGTATAGCTTTCATACGGAGTGAGAGAAAAATATTGCATAGAGATGATAAGGGGCATGGCTGAAGTTGTAGAATGCTCAAGCCTAAGGACCTAGATTCAATTCCAATCTCCAAACCAAACCAAATGAAAACAATCTACAGGGCTGGGAAGGTGGCTCAGTGGTAGAGTGCTTGCCTTCCATGCATGAGGCCCTGGGTTCGATTCCTCAGTACCACATAAGCAGAAAAGGCCGGAATTGGGCTGAGGCTCAAGTGGTAGAGTGCTTACCTTGAGCTGAAGAGCTGAGGGACAGTGCCCAGGCCCAGAGTTCAGGCCCCACGACCAACCAAAACAAAACAAACAAACAAACAAAAAAACAGATTTAATGGCAGCATTATGCTACAAAAAATGAAGGTAATGGGAGCTCACAAACGGGGTCAAGGAAGAGGGACAGTCATTAAATTCAAGGTACTATGTAACTCAAGGGTAGGGATGGGAGGGAGAATATTGGAAAAAGTAACATTGATCAAGATGCATTGTAGTCTGACTCATGGAACTGCAATCTGATTGTACAACTATTTAATAATAAAATGTAACAAAACATTAATTACAACTACCTGAATATGAAAGCTAACCAATTAAGAATTCAAGATTCAACAGATCTTGCTACAATACCAAACCATGTATGCTCTACTTTTTTTGTTGTTGTTCGTGGAGCCTGAACTCTGGGCCTGGCCACTGTCCCTCAGCTCTTCAGCTCAAGGCTAGCACTCTACCACTTGAGCCACAGTGCTACTTCCAGCTTTTTTCTCTGCTTATGTGGTGCTGAGGAATTGAACTCAGGATCTCAGGCATGCAAGGCAAGCACTCTACCATTGAGCCACCTTCCCAGCCCATGTCCTACTTTTTATAAACTACGTTTCAATTACAAGTTAGGTAATCAGAACTTATACTACTATCTGTGGTTAAATCAAAGCACTGGGACTGGATATATGGCTCACTGGTAGTTTATTTAGTATGCATGCACAAAACCTTGGGTTTGTTCCTCAGCATTCAAAACAAAACAAAACATAAAACACAAATGCTAAGTTGCATCACAATCTTTGGTCTGTGTATTTTTGATTGCCCATTTGCATCAGACTGTTAGGAGGAATAAATTAGTATTAGGAAAGTACAAAAAAGTAA